AAATGTCCCAATGAAACCCATTATTTGTGCAGTTAGTTAATGGGAAGAATAGGTCAGTGTAGGGAGGAATATCTGTTTTTTTTTTTTTTTTTTTTTTTTCTGAGAATGGCTGTTCTCAGGCACTTGTTACCTCTTTTAAGAGTATGGTGATTCTTACCAAGGCAGCCTTATAGGGTGTCACTTCATATGTAAATTAGGTCACTATGAACAGGCCTCCAGAAATCATGATCAGCTATCTTAGTGCCAGTTGGTTTTAGCTAACCCACCTAAAGAGAACATCTGGCCTTAAAACATTCTGCCCCCCCCCCCAAAAAAAAAAAAAAAAAAACAAGATTAGGACAAGGTAGAAATTCAGCTAGGCCAATAAGCAGTACACTAGGGAACAAGACTGTTAGGAGGAGTAAATGGGAAAAACATCTAAGAAAAGCATTTGATATAGAGTCTGATACTGTGTGTCCCTGTTGTTTTGTTTGTTTGTTTGCTTGCTTGCTTGCTTGATGTTTTGTTTTGTTTTTGAAACAGGGTCTCTATATGTAGCCCTGGCTGGCCTGGAATTCAGAGGTGTGACTGACTCTGTCCCTGCTTCTGTCTTCTGAGGCCTGGATTAAAGGATGTACCACTACACCTAGCTAGGGTTGAATTTAGGTGCCCAATGTGTTTTTATTTGAATGTTAACTTATTACAGTTGCATCATTCTAGATTAATAACTGGTAATGCTTGTTTTCCATAAATCCTTATATATGTATATTTACACACACATACACACATATATGTACACACACACACACACATATATATATATATATATATATAGAGAGAGAGAGAGAGAGAGAGAGAGGCTTAAACAGGTTGTACAGCTTAAACAGGCTATACAGATATGCCAGATGAATGGTAATTTACATGAGGTTCTGTTTTTGTGTTTGTATGTATGTGTTATATGCATGTAAGTATACCTGTATGTGGACATGTAGAAACTATAGCAGGTTACATGTCTTTCTCTAGTACATTTAGCCTTAGTATCAGTAAGCCAAGTTCCTGCTTGGTTGGTTGATTGTGGGTTTTTGGGTAGGCTGGTTTGCTAGCTGGTGAGTTCTTAGGCTCTCCCTGTCTCCACCCCCAATGCTGAGGTTACAGAAATGCACAACCATGTGAGGTTTTCCTGTGAGTGCTGGGGATTTGAACTCAGGTCCTCATGTTTACAGAGCAAGTGTAGTTACCTACTGAGCTATCTCCCCAGTCCCCTGTTACTATTCTTTATCTTAGCTAACATCTTTGCAAAAGATAGAGCTATTTAATAATCATTATATCACCCTGTTCCAAACTTTCATCTACTCTGAGTATAAAATAAATGTCAAAGTTACCACCAATCCCTTAACTGTTATATGTGTGTGTTTCTTATTAGTATCCTGTATGTGTCAGGTGCTGCATAGGTATGCCCAGTTTTAGCCTGAATGGTTTACTTGCTCATTTCCAGACTGCACATTTGAGTTAGTTATCACTTCTTTCCTACAATAAATAAAGCTGTTTGCACATACTTTTGTCATATTACTCTCCTGAATTCCCTACTCCACCCTGGTTAATTCTTAGGGGAATACACCTTGAGATCAGCCATGGTGTAGTGTTAAATCTAGTTAATGGTGATTCATCTCAAATTCACTTCATAAGTAGCTTCATACTAGAAAAACCAAATCCTAGAGATGTGACTAAATGTGGGTCTCATTAGCTATAAATGTAGGTCTTTGGGCTGCTTTTTCTTACAAAAATCTATTTGCACAGAGTGAGTTACACAGAGAGGTCTTAAGACAAAGGAAGACAAGAAGTTGTAAGAAAACCCTTGGGAAATCTGGAAGTTTTCTATTGCCTCCTGAGTCTAATTTCCAGAATGTTGTTTTGTTTCCTTCCACAGTACACAGGTGCACTTTGATTGTTAAAAGTGAACATAAACAGAACTATTTTCAAGATAAATATGCATTTTTTGGACTAACCATCAATAGGCTTCTTTTGGTTAATGCAGATGTGATGATGGCTTAGACTTAATAGCACACATTCCTCATAGTGATAGGGCCCACTGCCATTCCTCAGACCCTAAATGCAAATGAAATGCCTGTCTTTACTTCTGCTGCCAGAGTGGACTCAGGAAGTGTGTGCCTGGGTGAGTGAAAGCCTATGGGACAAGGTCATAAGAATAAAAATGAAGGAAAACTATGAGGGCTTCAGGACAGTCATGAAATGAAGGGCACTGACTACAGGCAGCTACATGATTCATAGGTTGAGACTATGATGTTATGAAGGAAAGGATTCCATTATTTTTTATTTATGGTTTAGCATTATTTGAGAATCCATAGTAAATTCACATGGATCAAAACTAAACAAAAATTCTCCATTAAACCACAGCTTTCTAAAATTTGTTTGGTTTTGTTGTTTGTTTGAAGCAGTGTCCCAATTTGTAGCCAGGCTGGCCTTAAACTCATGACGGTCCTCTGCTTAGCCTCCCCAGTACTGGGATTACAGGCATGAGCCACCGTGCCTGGTGCTGTTGTGTACCTATCCATGCTAGTAAGTATGTGAGGGCATATGCCTGCATGCTTATGTACACATGTGGTTTTCTTCCTTCTTCTTCCTTCTAGTGAATGGCATAATATACATACTGCCCTGTATCTTACTCTTCTCCAACACTAACCCTTTGAAATCATTACATACCCATCCGGAAGCTTTTGCAGACTTTGAAAGCACTTTTTAAAATGACATGAGTCTGTCTGCTAGGGTAAAGGTAATTCTTAATCCATGGATTAAGCCTAAGGATGTTACATAATTGGAGTCAATACATGGCTGTTCAATAAAAGATACAGTGAGCAAGTTATTTTACTTACTTAGCTTATTCTTTCATTTATTTTGTTTTTATTTGAACTTGTGAACCTCCTTCCTCGTCATAAGTGCTAAACTTAAAAATATGTGCTACCATGATTTATTTTCGACAAGAGTTTTTCCATATAATTCAGGCCGGCTTTAAATTCTCTGTGTATTTCAGGCTAGCTCTAACTTGTGATCCTCCTACTTCAGCCTCCCAAGTATTGGAATTTCAGGCCTGTGTTACTATGCTTGGCTTGAATCATTTTATTAATGCAAGGCAGAGATGGGAAGAAATGGAAGGCTAAGAAATGCCTGAAGTTCTGAGACCACTGACATAACTGTGGTCCTTTAACCCAGGGATGACATCCCTAAGAGCTTGTCCATTCAAGAAAGCATCGGTAATTCTCTTGGAGAATTCCATCAGGAGACAGCAGAAGAAAGAGATGTCTCTGGATTTGGGGTGTGGTGGCCCCGACAAGCAGTTTCAGTTCCTTTTTTCAAATGTAGAACCAGGAACTCAATAAGAGTGAACTGTAACCCTTTTGTTCTAAAGTTAGTTCATTTATAATTCCCACATTTTTTTCTGATTGCCGGTATGCACATCTGTCATTTTTAAAGTGCATTTGTAGATACAGACTGGGATGGGATACTTTCTCCTAGAAAATAAAAAACACACACATAGATACTTGATTAAAAATATGTTTGTTAGGCCACGTGTGTTAGTACATGCCTTTAGCCTCAGTATTTGAGAGGCAGAAAAAGGTGGATCTTTGTGTGTTTGAGGCCAGCCTGTTCTATATAACAAGTTCCAAGCCAGTCAAAGTTGAATAGTGAAATCCTGTCAATATTATATATATGTATGTATTTATATGTTATATGTATATATTATATGTTGTTCTTTTGCTGCAGCTATTGCCTATGAAACACAAACACGAGACTCAGCGCCCACGTGGAGTTTATTGAGAGAGGGGAGAGAAAGAGGGGTAGCTGGTGGCCAACCGAAAGCAGGGAGAGAGAGAGAGAGAGAGAGAGAGAGAGAGAGAGAGAGAGAGAGAGAGAGAGAAGAAAGAGAAAGACAGAAAAGCAAAGAGAGAGAAGGCCAGAGAGAGGGGCGTGCGCGTTTGCTTTAAAAGGGGGGCTTGCGCATGCGTAACTGAGTCCCCTGCACAGCCAGGTAAACCTTGAGCAGCCAAGAGCATCCCGCTCATCGTCGGGGACGGGGTCAGTAGACTGCTGGTTCCCAACATTATATATGTGTATATATTATATACAATATTGACAGGATATATATATAATTTCAAAACTCAGCTGCAGAAAAAAATTCTTAAAGATTCTATTCCTCACAAAATGGAATGGCCAACTATTGGCAGAAAAGTAGATTTTTAAGAGTAGGATTAAATATCTTACATATTGATCTTTTGAAGAAAATTAAGTGAACTTTTGTATTTTTAGCCTTACATCAAGTAAGTTAAATTATTATAATAATATTATAATTATTAAATTTAAAATGGAATTGTTGATAAACATATGTGTCTTAGTCAGTGTTCTATTGCTGTGACGAGACACCATGACCATGGCAACCCTTATGAAGAAAACCTTTTCATTGGAGCTGGCTTACAGTTCAGAGGTTTAGTCTGTTATCATCATGGCAGGAAACATGGCAGCATGCAGACAGACATGGTGCTGGAGAGGTAACAGAAAGAGAGAGGCTTGGCTTAAGCTTCTGAAACCTCAAAGCCCACCCCCAATGATACACTTTAATAAGGCCACACCTACTCCAACAAGGCCACATACCTTAATCCTTTCAAATAGTGTCACTCCCTATGAGCCTGTGGGGCCATTTTCATTTAAACTACCAGAATGTGTAATATATTTCCAGTGTTATATTGAATATTTAAAATTTTGTTTTAGGTTGTTCTAGACAGGTTTCTCTGTATAGCCCTGGCTATCCTGGAACTCACAATGTAGACCAGGCTGACCTTGAACTCAAAGACCTGACTGCCTCAGCACCCCAAGTGCTGGGATTAAAGGCGTGTACCACCACATTCAGCTTAAATATTTAATTATTAAAGGCACTTAGTTACCAAAATAGCAGCCAATAGTAAATACAATTGATAGTAAAATGGATTTTTTTTTCCTCTCTGTTTTAGTTAAGTTTGAAATCGATGCTAACAAATACTGGGACACATTTTACCAGACTCATAAGAATAAGTTTTTCAAGAATCGTAACTGGCTGTTGAGGGAGTTTCCTGAAATTCTTCCAGCTGATCAAAATACTAAAGAGAAAGTGAAAGAATCATCCTGGGATCAAGTCAGAAGCAACTTCGCAAGAATGCAGAACACAGGAACTCACTGTCCAAAGGGCTGTGTCTCATCAGACCCTCCGAGCAAAGGAAGGTCTAACTATTCCAGCGTGGACTTGGAAGAACACAGGAAAGGGCCTGGAAAGACAGAGCACTTTCCCGGTAGCAATGCCACTTTCCGAATACTGGAGGTACTGTGTCCAAGGAACAAGACAGGAGGTGATGGAGTATGAAAGTGTACACCCCATATTATTTTATGATAGTCCAGATTGCATAGGTGGAAAGACCAGACCTAACCAAACTCTGAGTGTGCTTGCATGCAGAAGCAGTTCTCAGAGCAGACTCACATCTTTAATCAATCAAGTTTTAAGTTTGTGGCTTTCATTTCATTTGTGTTACTTTTTTCCCCCTTTTAATTTGCTGTAATTTCTAACTTGGAGGCAGTTTTTAAATACTGATAAACTTTTGGCTTTAATATTTGCTCTTTTCTACCCATTTTGGGGTGAAATAAAAAGTAAGCCAGATGTTTAGTTTGCTGTAATCTAGTGTAGCTAGTGGTTTTCCACTTTTCTGATTCTGCAGGTAATAGTTGTTGATTACAGAGAATTTGCAAGAGCACATAAGAGAAATACAATTAATTACAACCCCATGGACAAGTTATTTAGCCACTTTTTGGGAGGGAGGGTTTGGTTTAGGTTGTGTGTGAGCTTTAAGACTTTGTGTTGTTCTAGTTAACATCACATCATAGACAGTTGTCTGCCTTTAACCACTCTCTTTGAACATTTTTATGGCTGCACAGTCTTCTGCAAGTGAGGTTACCATAATTTTACTTCCCTGCTGTCTTACCACTGGTGTTCGTTAATTGTTTTCTCAGCAAGTGTCTTTGGGTGTAGACTTTACCTCCATTTCCTTTCCCATCTTGGGTTAGATTTTCTAGTTTATAATATTTGGAAACTTTCAGAGCTCTTAAAACAGACTTCCAAATTGCTTCTGAGAAGCTATACTAATACAGCCAGACAGGCGGACGTGTGCCCGCAGCCCAACCCTCAAGAAACAGAAACAAGAATATTATACATGTTCAAGATCAGCCTTTTCTCTCTCACTCACTCATATGAGGATTTGAACGTGATAGACAAGAGTTCTACAACCCAGTCCATTTTGAGGCATTTTCTCCCTGAGTTGCTCAGGCTGACTTCAGACTGACTCACTCTATGTAGCCCAGTCTTCTTGCCTCAGGTCTGAAGCTCCAGACCCCTCTTACCCTGCTTCAGTTTATACTTTTTTCGCCTCCTGGTTCTTCAGACATTGAGAAGTCACATGTTATTTGTGCTCTGTCCATTCCTTCCCTTTGCTTGTCTGTTTATGAGTACTGCCCTTTATCATAGCTCCTGCAAGTGCTTTCTGGCTCTGTGGTATCTACAGTGCATTGTACACTTATTAATTCAGTTGGGAGAGGGGCTTTGGTGGGTTGGAAAGATTTCCACAGCCAAACTTTGATTGTTACTATTGTGATTTGTTTCTTCTGGCCTTTGAGTTTCACAAGTTCTGCCATACCCAGAAATCTAGCAATCACTTATTTTTTAAATAGAAAATCCAATATTGGGAGTGAAATGTAATGCATTCACATTTGTTTATTCTCAATTTCAGGTTGGCTGTGGTGCTGGAAATAGTGTTTTTCCAATCCTGAACACCTTGCAGTGAGTTTTAAGTGTTTTCCTGTACAAAATCTTATATATTTATGGAATGTTGAAAAATTCTGGAAATACCTTGTCATGCCTATGCCAAGAGTTCTGAATTCCCATATAAACCATGACTAAGGCAAGTTTCAAAAGATATGTTCTTAGTGACTAACATCTCTTGAACTGGAGAGCATTCTGAAAAAACATTCTGCAGCCATGGGTGTGAAGTAGTTTTTAAACTTGTGTTTACGTAGAAGACAGAATGGGAAAAGAGCAAGAGATTCCATCCTTCCACCAAGCTGTGCTTTGCTCAGCATCAGACATAGTGTGCTCTTCCTGGGTACCAGATGGCACCTTACACAGAGAGTTAGGATTGCAGCACACACCTCACTCCTCATCATATGGTAACACACACGCACCCTTTGCACGGCAGATCATTGTGCCTCCACTCAAAGTTATCCTGAGTGGTAGCCCTGAGCACAAGCAGAAAGTAGAAATAGATGGAAGGTAAAACTAGATAAGGATAACACTGACGTCCTCCGGTCTCACCTTGGTGTTTTAGTGTTTCTGTGATGAAGCCACCCCTTACAAAATCCTCTATACCTTTTACCTCCAGTTACCTGATCTCTCCAATTCTTTAAGTTCGCACAATGCCGTTCACGTCATTTTCCCGCTAATATCAACATAAGCACATTTCAGAGAACTTTTATCAGGAGGAGGTGAGGCATCCCCATCACTCTAACATAGCTGCTGTGCAATGTCCATTCTGCATGTATGTTTTTTAACTCAACAATATGATCTCTTTAGCTTTCAATTACAACTACGTAAAAGCATTTGGGAAGGCAAAGAGCAGTACAATGAATTTCCATAAACCCACCACCATGATTCAATAATTATTTGCATAATGCCAGATATCATGCCACTTCTGGATTCAGGATGCATCTCCAAAACATCAGGCTATTCATTGATGCTTTCGTACACCCAGTGTAACAGACAGTGCTTTCCTAACATTATCTACTGGCAGCTTCTGGTGCAGGGCATGGTAGGTGCTAGTGAAGGGTGATGACCATACTTTATTGTCTTGTCTCCCCTTTTCCGGCTTCCATGATGAAGTTTTCTATCCTCCTATATCACATGACCAGGTCCTTTCACCCTAATGACCCCACACTGGCTGGTGGTCTTGCTACCCTATGCCTGTTCTCAAGCTATTACTAAGCATGCCGTTCTTAAATTTCTTGAGTCTCTATTTTGTATATCGCAAGTAGTCTAACAGTATTATATAGCAAGAGCTTAACAGGTATTGATTATTAGTTTTGTATTAGTTAGTTAGACTTTCACTACTCTTTTCTTCCTCTCTCTCTCCCCCCCCCTCTCTGTTTGTTTTTGTTTTTGTTTCTTTGTCTTTTGAGACAGGCTCTCTCTGCATAGCCCTAGCTGTTTTGCTCTGTAGACAAGGCTTGCCTCTGCCTCCTGAGTGCTAGGATTAAAGGCATGTACCACCATGCCTGGAATGGAAAGTTCTAAGTCCCTCCCTCTTCTGCACCCCTTCCCGTTCTTTTCTTCCCCCCCCCCATTTTCCTTTTTTTCCCCCCTCCTCATCCTCCTCATCCAAGAAAGTTTTACTTTAAACATCAGGCTAGCCTCAAACGAGATTTTTCTGTCTTCATCCTCCATTACTGGGATTACAGGTGTGCTTAATAACCTGGGGAAATGACTGATCTTTAAAAGCCAACAGCGACCAGCCTTCCAAAGGGAGAATTAAGCGCCCCACCCCCAGGATTAATGTGTTACACTTTGAGAATGTTTCACCATAATTAGACCATTGGAATTGAAGGGTCAGATCATTCTCCAAGGATCATTTCTTTCTCAAAGACTGTCTGCTGGTGTGGTGGTGGTGGCAGTGACGTGCACACCAGTTACTGGGAGAAGAGCCAAGGCAGTCAGCTGACTTTACGAAAGGCTTGGAAGGTCATGGGGTGGTCACAAGGCTGCAGCTTGGGATGCTGATGCAGTCAGAAATCCATCTCAGAGGTCAGGCTGTCACCTTGATAGGACACATGGCACATGTTTTCCTTTAGCTGCTAGACTCTTCTGGGTCCAATAGGTGTTCTGTCACTACTCAAAGGTAGATGGCAGGCCTTTCATATGTGTCAGCTGGGCAAGAGTCCAGAAGGGCATTCTGAATTATATAGATATTTTTAGAGGGCCATCTGAGTTTTAAGTTCCTGGGAGGCAGAAGCAACCTTCCTTAAAATGATAATAATAATAGCAGCAGCCACTATAATAATGGCTGGCATCTATTGAGTGCTTGTTTTCTGAGCCATGAGTCTTTTAGAAACCTTACCATGTGGATCCATTCAGCCCTCACAACCACCTTAACATCACACTTATCTCTACTTAAAGATGGAGAAACAGAGTTACAGGCAGATTAAGAAACCATCCCCAGATACATCACTTAGTAACAGTGGATCCAAATGTTAGGCATGGGGCAGCCTGGTTCCAGAGGCCTTTCATCATTAGCCACAGATCTCGTTCTCTCTCTCTCTCTCTCTCTCTCTCTCTCTCTCTCTCTCACACACACACACACACACACACACACACACACACTCACATGCATCTGAGTGCTAACTGAGCACGTTTCATAGGCATACAGCACTCAGTAGCTCACAGGTCACAGTGATCCAGGTTTCTTGAGAGATTACAAAGTATATGCTAGTATAAAGTACTAAGATGTATTTATGTATTTCTTCTTTTCTTTTTTTGAGACAGAGGCTCATTCACTCTGTGGCCCAGATGGCCTTGAACACTGTTTGACTCTTCTTACCTTGGCCTCCCTCCTGCTGGAAGTAGAGCCAGGTGCCCCATTGCCTAGCAGAGCATCGTTTTTATAGGAGACAAATGAAAAACAAAACAAAACCAAGTGCTGTGATCGTTTACTTTGATTTAGTACTGGTTAACGTTTCACAGTCAAGTCCCACTCACTATACTTCTACTTGTTTGGACAGATCTTAAGTCAAATGCAAATCCTAGTGCTACATAATAGACTAGTTAATTATATGTGAATTATAGTATTTATCAGCAAGCAGCCTTTAACAGTATAATCTAAGTCCAGGCTGCTAAATTCATAGTTTTGCTTATATTCCTTATTTACTTAGAAGTCCACCTTGCCTGAAATGTCTCTTGAATTAAGAGGCTTAATCTGTGCTTCAGACCTCTGGTATATTCTGTTATATTGGACTCTTTAGACCAATGTACTTCTTATTCCTGGCATACGATTCCTACCCGTAAGTCCCTGTGCCATGCTGATTCTCAGTTAGCAATCCCAACCTGTCCCTATAAAACTTTCAAGACTTAGACACTTTGGGATGCTGGTCCCTTCGAAAGTTGTATGAAACCAGCCATATCCCCAAATACACAGTCCACAAAAGCCAGACCCATGCTTACACCTACAGACATACCTGTTTTCAGCAATCTAGATCTTTTCTAAGCAGCATGATATAAAGATTGTTTCATACCACCATACAGAATTTGTAGTATCTGCCTGTCCATGAACAATGCAGAGTCCAGCCATCATTTCTGGATTTCAAATAAAGGCCAAATAGAATATGTTTAAGTTTGGAGGCCAATTAAAATTAGTCAAGATTTTCACATGGGTGAGCATTCCTGTGTAAAATAATAATAATAATTTCCTGAAACTGATTTTCAGAAAAGTTAAATTCATAAAGAAGTAGCAAATCCAGGATTCCTATACAGGTCTGCTTGGCTCCTAAACCCACAGTCTAAGTAGTTGAATTAGATAACTTCATTTCCTACTTCATATTCTAATGTTTGGTGTATATATTAGGTTCAATAAATGCTTGACGATAACTTGAAAAGATACCCAAGAATTAGTGTGTTAGAGTTTGATTCTGTTTTAGAAATTGCATTTATTGCCATTATAAAGTTATATGTGCCTTCTGTCCTGTTAGAACGTCAGAGCACCTGTCTGGAAAGGTTCAGGCCTAACAAGTTGCAAGTAAAGGAGGAATGAGGGGCACAGTGTTTTAGGGAAAAGGCAGAGCTATGCACGGTAGGCATTGGGGGGGGGGATGATAAGATGGGAGGGTGGGCTTAGAAATTTCCATATGAACACGGAGTAAGACATAGGCAGGTGCTCCTTCAGCACAGGACAGGAGTTTCAATGTTACCCTGTAGTGATAAGTGCTTGTCACACCTTCTCTAGTTTGAACATGTCTGCCTCTGGATTTAAATGCCTTTTCCATTTGCATAGGAACATTCCAGGATCCTTTCTTTATTGCTGTGATTTCGCCCCCGAAGCCGTGGAGCTTGTAAAGGTATGCTTTATAAGTCTTTAAAGAGGCATGGACTGAGGAGATGACCACCAGGAGAGTGCTCATCATACAAAGCAGGAAAACCTGGGTTAAAAAACTGGCATGGGGGTGTGTGCCTGTCATTCCAGCATTGAGGAGCCAGAGACAGGAAGACCCTGGGGCTTCTGGCCAGCCAACCTAGACAAATCACTGCCTCAAAACACAAGGTAGGGGGCAACTGAAAAGTATCGCTGACCTACACACACACACAGGGACACAAGCACACACATGTCCACAAACACTTAAACACACATATGAATGCACAAATGAATGCACACATAAATTAAAAGTAAAGAGAGAGCGGGGTAGTGGTGGCACACATCTTTAATCCCAGCACTTGGGAGGCAGAGGCAGGTAGATCTCTGCTAAGTTCAAAGCCAGAGCCTTAAAAAGCAAAACAAAACACCCCCCCCCCCCAGAATAAGTAAATGAATAAATAGAGGCTTTGAAAGTTCTAAATTAAGATGCCTGAAGAGATTAGCTTAGCAGTTAAGAATACTGATTGTTCTTCCAAAGGACCTGGATTTCATCCACAGCACCCATATGGGGCTCACAATTGTCTTTTACCCCAGTTCCAAGAGGTCTGACACCTGCTTCTCAACTGTGTGAGCATCAGGCAGGCACATGATGCACAGACATATACAGAGTGAAATCCCCATACATGTAGAATAAATATATAAATAAATTTAAAAGGTCTAATTTTGGGCTGGAGAGATGGCTCAGCGGTTAAGAGCACTTGTTGCTCTTCCAAAGGGCCCAAGTTCAGTCCCCAGCACCCACACTGTAACTCCATTCTCAGAAGATCCGATATCCTTTTCTGGCCTCTGCAGGTAACAGCCACAGGCATACATGCAGGCAAAACACTCATACACATAATTTTATTTTATTTTTTTAATGTAAGGGTCTGTTTGTCTTTGATTCCTCAGTGTAGCTCTAGCTGTCCTGGAACACAGTTTGTAGATTAGGTGAGTCTCAAACTCACCAAGATCTGCCTGCCTCTGCCTCCCAAGTACTAAGATTAAAGGTGTGTGCCACCAACTCTATGGCTTTGTTTTTGTTTTTTATTTTAGGATAGCTTGAAATCAGTTAACAGAGTACTGAACTAGAAATGAAGTTTGTTCACAGGAAAGATGCGTGAGAGAAAGAAAATGCTAATTTTTATTACACTTGTTTATTTTGTGGGAAGGGAATATACATGCCAGGGGGCTTGTGTGGAAATGAGAGAACAGTTTGGGGGTGCAGCTCTCCCCTTCCACCATGTGGGTCCTGAGAGCAAGCACCTTTATCAACCAGGCCCTCTCAACGATCCAAGAAAGGGTTTCTTAAAAACCTTTAAAAAAAAAATTATAAGGAAAGGAAAAGAAACCTCTAATAGTCTGCTACCTCCTGCTTTTTATTCCTTCATCATGACAGTCACATGCGTCCTACAGTGAGGCCTACTGTTGTGCCTTTATTCATGATGTGTGCGATGACGGCTCAGCCTACCCTTTTCCGGATGGGATCCTGGATGCCATTCTCCTTGTCTTTGTGCTCTCTTCTATCCACCCTGACAGGTAAATGAAGACGAGAGGGCAACACTAATGTGTAAAGCTTCTTTATCAGTCGTGGTTTTTAGAACTGTCAAAGCAAAAATGACAATCCCAGAATTTATTATTTAGTGAACTCCACTATGTTTAACATGCAGTTTCTCCTTTCTTCACACTTTTAAGAGAGAAACTGGTCAAATGCTTCCTTAGCGAGCTTTCTGTCACTGTCAGAATGAAGAGAGCATATTCTGGCAAGACACATACCTATTAAAAGTGACAGCACTTCAAGGAAATTACAGATGCAGAACAGCTTAATCGACTCCCAGGAGGGAGAGTGTACTAGGTGATCAGAAACAAACATCTTTGATTTAGTGTCTTCTTGAGCGTTTGAGGAGAGGTGGGCTGTAGTCTGTGTGGTTTCGAACTTGTATTTTAAAGAAACTTGCTGAGGAATTGTGGCTGTAGTGATTTGACAAAGTAGGGTCTAAGGTGGATCGAGAGCTATGGTTGATTTGGATGAGTGTGGTGTGTGTGTGTGTGTGTGTGTGTGTGTGTGTGTGTGTGTGTGTGTGTGTATTAACTTTAGGATCTTATGCATGTCGGGCATGTGCTCTTCCTTAAGTATGACTTAGGTTCTTACATTTACATGATGTTGGTTTTCATTTTTTATTTATTTTTTGAGTCTCACTGTATAGCCGGTGCTGACCTTGAACTCTCTTTCCAGCCCAGACTGACCTCAAACCCCCAGTGGCCCTCCTGCCTCAACTTCCCCACTGTTGAGATTACAGGCATGTTCCACCATGCACACCCACAGGACTTGTGCTTTTGTGAGATTTCTCATCCCCCACCCCCTGTAAAAGAAGGTACAGGTCTGCATGAGATTTCCTTTTGTTTGATAGAGTAATCCTTTCCCACAGAAACCTGAGTCCTCTCATGCTAAGTTGCTAGGGTCTTTGCTGGCTTTTTAGTTTCCATCCAAAGCTGAGCACTTTACTACTTAGTGAGGGAAAATGTGATTCCCAAATTAATCAAAAGAAGTTATATTTAAATCTGATGCATAGATTAGGTTCCATCAAGCCCCTTCCTCCCCTTCATTTCCACAATGCATTTCTTTTCTGATAATGTGTTCATCTGTCGACACTGCTGCAGAATAGTAAAATGTCGACTCTGTGTTTTGCTTCTGTACATGAATAGTTAAAAGGATAATGTAAGGGATAAAGAGCAAGAGTTCCTATTTGGTACTTAAAACAGGAAATGCATAGATTCCAAAGAAGACTGCAGAAAGACTATTTGAAATTGGTTCAGATAATGTATTTTATCATGATTTGACTTGAATATTAGTAAGAAGGGGAAACATATCATAGGATGATTACCTTTATAATAGAATACTCACTCTGTTTATTATAAAATAAATTCAGGAGTATTGTGTCAATACAACTTTTTTTTTCTATGTGGAAATGACCTAAAATAAGGTGGATGAGCTGGGTGTAGTGGTGGACACCTGTGGTCCTAGCTATTTGGGCAGTTAAAACACAAGGCCCTGGAGCCCCAGGTGTTTGAGACCAACCTGGACAACACAGTGAAACCCCACCTTGAAACAGGCCACAGGAGGAAGCTGACTGTCTTTCTGGTCATTGAAGTAAAAGAAAATGTAAGATACATAGTGTAAATAAAAGCATGAGGAGTCAGCAAATGAGAGTTTCTATTGTTTGTCTGTTTTTATCTTTTTCCTTTCCTCTTACTCTGTCTAGGGCCAGGTAAGGACAGTAATCAGCTGAAGTGCACAAAATATACAAAGGGCTTAGCATAGCACTTGGATGAGGCTGGTAGAGCTGTGTGAATTCTAGTCTAGACCACTCAAGGATAGTGAGACCTTGTCTTTAAAAAAAAAAAAAAAAAAAAAAAAAAAAAAAAAAAAAAAGAGGAGGAGGAGGGAAGGAACAAAGGAAGGAAGGAAGGAAGGGAAGAGGAAGGAAGAAAGAAAGGAAGGAAGGAAGGAAGGAAGGAAGGGAGAAGGGCCTTGATGATTAATACCAATTGTAAACTTGACAGAATCTAAAATTGACTGGGAGATAGGCCTGTGGAAATTAAATCTTGAGTACATTAATTGGCATGGGACAGCCTTTCTTAATGTGGGTGGGGCCATGCCCTGGGCGAGAGATTCTGGATATACAAGATGGAGAAAGCAAGCTAAAACTGTCCTGCACTCATGGTTCCCTGCTTTGTGACTGGATGGGGTGTGACCATCTGCTTCAAGCTCCTGACTCCTCAAAGCCCCCACCATGGTAGTCTGAAACCTTAACTGTGAACCAAAGCAGACCCTTTCTCTCTGAAGTTGCTCCTGTCAAAGTATGTTATCACAGCAGCAAGGAATGTGGTGATATTTTGTTTATGATCTAACACATAAAGCTTGCCTGAAGGTCAGAGTGCAAAGCTAGCCACACTAGTCAGCCATAGAAGCCAGGCAGTGGTGGCTCACACCTTTAATTCCAGCACTCAGGAGACAGAGGCAGATGGATCTCTGTAAGTTCAAGGCCACCCTAAGCTACATGAAATTGATCCAGCCTAAGAGAAACAGAGCTCACACAAAGGTGAATCCCAGCACTTGGATTGGCATGTCTTTAAGCCCAGCACTAAGGAGGTGGAGACAGGAAGGGATATGGCTGGATAGAAAGAGGAATATAAGGTGGGAGGAGACAGGAGCTCAGAGCAGTCTGAGGATTCATAGAGACAGGATCACCTCTTTGGTCTAAGGATTCAGTAGAGGTAAGAACTCTCTAGTGGCTGCCTGTTTTGCTTTTCTGATCTTTCAGCACCCCCCCCCCTCCCCAGTATCTGACTCTGGGTTTTTATTATTAATACCGATTAGAATTCATGTTAAAGGGGAAAGCAGCTAAGACAGAGGCCTTGTTCCTGTCTTCTCTACTTCATTCCCAGCTTGGTCCTACGTGGTTCCCAGGAGCCCGAGAGGAGATGGAATGACAGGAGAAGCCACCTGCTCCTGTACTCTGTACACACTCAGGTGTTTGACGACCATTCATTTACACAGTGGCTGCATAGGGAAGTGTTTTATTTTTTATTTCACTCTTATTTTACTAATAATTCCAGATGTTTTTCTCTGTACATAATACATTTATCTTGAAATTGTATGTTTTTAAGGTTTAGCTTTCTTATTCATTGTCAGAGACCAAGGATGTAAGCACAGCATGAAAATGACCTAAAATGAACAAAAATATAATTTTTCCCTTCATGTATTTATGCTTCCTTCTTTTTTTTTTTTTTTTTTTTTTTTTCCTTGTGCTGAGAATGGAACTCGGGGTCTCACACATGCTACAGGCCAGCATCCTTCTGGAGCTTGGTAGCTTGGAAGTTGTTACCATGAGTACCCAGCTTATATTCCAGTTTTTAAAAAGAGCCTTTCATGAAACATGCATCTCTTTCTGTCATATATTTCTCCCCTATTCAGACTTATTTTTATAGAAACTTTTATTTTCTCCCTACACACTTTCATTTCTTTCTGTTTTTTAATTTTTGTTTTGTTTCTTGTTTTTCAAGGCAGGGTTTCTATGTATAGCCCTGGCTGTCTTGGAACTCATTCTGACCAGGCTGGCCTCAAACTTAAAGATCCACCTGCCTCTGGTTCCAAGTGCTGGGATTGAAGGCGTGCACCACCACTGCCTGGCTGCTTTCTTTATATGTGGCCAAAGCTGGGTTCTACCCCACTATTCCACTAAATGTGGTTTCTTAAGATTTTAAAATTATGCGTGAGTGTGTGCAAGTGTATATGGTCCTGTGTGTTCCACAGCATGTATGTAGAGGCCAGAGGACTACTTTAGAGTGTCACGTCTCTCTTTTCATGCTTTTATGGGTCCCAGGGATCCAACTCAAGTTGCCAGGCTTTTGTGGCAGGTACTTTTACCTGCTGAATCATCTTGGCAGCCATGAATGTTGTTCTAAATTAAAGGAATTTATAAATTGTATGAGCTAACCTCATCTTTGCAGAATAAGAAAGTCTCAACACCTTTAATTGTCTTAAATAAAGTAGAGGCAGAGCTGGTGTGGTGGCTCACTTCTTAACACCAGCACTCAGAAGGCAGAGTCAGGAGGACTTATGCAAGTTCAAGGCCAGCCTGGTCTTCATGAGTTCCTGGCCACCTTGGGCTGTGGTGTAAGTCCCTATCTTAAAAGCCAAAGTCAAATAAACAAAAAAGAGACAACAAAGACTTGTGTTGTAAGCTGCCATTTCCCTTTCTTCCCATAGCAAGCAGTGGCAAATAGTTCTGTACCCTCATTGCCACTCCCTGTGGGCTTCATGAGTCCTCTTCCCTGGAGCTCTGCGGACAGCTAATGCCCATTACTCAGCATAGATAGAAGACCTGAGTCTTTCTGGCCACAGAACATAGGCCGTGAACACAGAACCCAAGATACTACATCAGGGTTTATTTTAGGAGTCGTATTTGATTGCACACTACAGAAACAGGATGGGGAATAAAGAATAAAGCCAGAGCCTTCTGGTATTGAGCTGGGAATTGGGAAGTGACTACAGTCAAAAACAAAACAAAACAAACAAACAAAAAACAAGAATAAAGAAAAAAGAGTTCTTTTTCTTTGAGAGGAAACCATGTACATAAAGGCCTGCACAGGCCACAGAGGCCACTGTGCTGTCGTGTTTATTTGGGAGAAACACCACAGGAAGGATTCATCCTGAGAAGCCTCTATGAAATAAAACTTTGCCCTCTAGATTAAAATCATGAAACTCTTTTTGCAATGAGGTGATTTGCCAGGACCATTGTTTGAAGTCAGACAACTCATTGGTAACATCCATGGAGAACTAACAAGAAGGTATGTAGTATAATAGGAAATGATTTTGTTTCTGAACTTGGGGGGTAATTGTCTTTCCCAAGGAACTGCCAATGGGAAACAGGAAACAGCAGAGGGGAGAAGGAGGAGGAGGGAAAAAACTTGATGAGCAATGGATAGGATAGTGAAAGAAAAGAAAAATAATCTCTCTGTCGAGATGGACGAGGGTATCTTTCAACTAATTGAAGAAGTCAGGAGTTGAGATGGCTCCGAAGGTGAAGTGCCTGCTGTGCATAACTGAGGATCCCAGTTCAATTCCAAGAATTCAGGTGAAAAACCCAAACACGCATGGATGCTGCCTGCAATCCTGGCATTCAGGAGGCAGACCTGGGAGCAAGATGGCTCGTTAGACTAGCAGAAACTAGGTTCCATGAGAGATCCTGCATGATGTCAGCTGTGTGCTTACACATATATGTGAACTTGTATATGCATAATCATATGTACCATACATGTACACACACAAAAAAAAGAGGGAGGGAGGGAGGGAAGAAGGAAGGAAGGAAGGAAAGAAGTAAGGAAAGAAATGAACTAACGTGGAGGAAAGATGACCTGTTTAACTGGTTAATTTGGGGTGGCTCTGGCATATTGTGTTATTTTTCAGAAAATGGAGTGTCTTTACCTTTGTCTCCTGCTGTATTTAGTGGCAGAAATATAAGTGGAGACAGGTGGGTGAGTTGTCTGTTTGGTTTGTTTGAGACAGGGTCTTACTATGTAACCAAGGCTTTGATTGGTGTGGAACCCATGATCCTCCTACTGTAGCCTCAAAGTCTGGGATTACAGGTTTGTGGTTTGCAATTCAGCTATGACATGGGATATCAAGCTCTGAAGCTCCTGGCTGAATTCAGTTCTTGAAACACTTAGACTTCTGAATTTGGTTCCTTCAGATACAAAATGCTTTTGTGAGTTGTTTGTTTTGGGTTGTTTGCTTGTTTGTCTTTGTTACATGTATGATTTCTTTGGCTTATTTAGATCTTATTTTGTCTCCAGGAAGGTTGACTCTAGCATATAAAACCTTTCCACACAGGTTATCTTACTTTGTTTTCCTAGGATGCAAGCTGTGGTCTGCCGACTGTCCAGGTTGCTGAAGCCTGGAGGAATGCTATTGTTTCGGGATCATGGAAGATATGATAATGCTCAGCTTCGATTTAAAAAAGGTAGTAGGGGCTGGGGGAGGGGTTCAATGGTTAAGTTCTCTTGAAGAAGATGAGAGTTTGGTTACCAGCACTCACACCAAGCAGCTCACAACCACATGTAGCTCCAACTCCAGGGGCTCTGACACCCTCTTCTGACATCATCAGGCACCCACCCGCATGTGCATATACCTACGCACAGACACATATATACATAATTAAAAATAAAGATAAAAAATTTTAAAGCTAATAGTATATTGAATTTTAAGTTGTTTTAATGTGTTTTTGAGAATATAAAAAATATGTCATGTCAAATTATTTTGATTTATCTTGTTTTTCAAGAAACTATCACGTTCTTCCTTTTTACTATTATTTTCTTTAGGGCGTTGTTTATCTGAAAATTTTTATGTCCGAGGAGATGGTACCAGAGCTTATTTCTTTACAAAAGGTATGCTGATCTATTACCTAAGGTAAATGATGAGCTGAGAAAACCCTCCTCAAGTGATCGTTCGCAGGGAGACGCTCCACCGAGCGCAAAGCAAAGCCTCGGCAGTGATTAGACAGCCGATGTCTTCATGCCCTGGTGCTTGTAGCAGTACCACATAAAAGCGTGTAAATAGCCTTTGCCGTTTAATCTTCTTCCAGTTAAAATCACTTTTAAAGAGCCACTTGTTTCACTCTTACTAGAGGAAAAGTGCAGGCTGTAATTTTGGAGATGTTGTTAGCCTGGATATGGAAAAAAAAATCCTAATATGCCACAGCCATAGGAAAGAATTTTATTTTTGTAAGTCTAAAGAAAATTAGTTCTCACTGGTGAATTCCTTGTTTTATACCAGTATTTCTGACAGCACTGAGTGAATCCAGCATCCAAGGGTTCCCCCAAACTTGATAGAGCCTTTTATAATATGTAATCTTGGGTTGTAAAACAAAGGCTCATGAAGGAGGCGGATTTCAAAGTCTGGAAAGCCTTAGCCCTAGCTCGGCTCAGATAATCTACCCTGCCGGTGCTGGCCCTGTCAGTGTGTTTAAACTCGCAATGTGTGGGGAAGATAAAAGAGCTCCACTTGGTTTTGTGGGCTTTCTTCACCTAGCTGTGTAGTGCTTCTTGGTATAAATGAAACTTGGATGAACAATCCTCCCCTGGTGGCATTGGTCCTTACCTCCCCTCCCCCCTGCCACTTTTGTCTTAAAGGGGAAATCCACCACATGTTCTGTGAGGCCGGATTACAAGAAAAGCAAAATCTGGTTGATCACCGCTTGCAAGTTAACAGGAAAAAACAAGTGGCAATGCACCGAGTGTGGGTTCAAGGAAAATTCCAGAAACCATTGCCCTGGACTCTGAGGAGCTGAAATTAGCACTCTCCTTTCTCATGACTGACGGAGGTGCCATGTTAAGGTGTGAAACCAGGGTGTGGTGTTGCTCAAAGGCAGCAAGGAGAAGAGCATCCATCTGTGGCCAGGCTGCTCAGATGTCTGCGCTCTTCGGGTTTACAGAAGTGACCTGCACGATTGTCCCAGCCACCCTCTGTGTTGTCAGAACTTGAAATATAGGTTTGTTTGGTTTTATTTAGTCTCGTCTAACCATGTTCCCTTGAATTTTACAATTAGAATTAAATTACTGATAGTTTTGAGAAATGTAACCTGTCCATTCTTTAGAAAAGGGAAAAACTATCTACTTTATTGTTGGGTATAGGAAGGCATCCCCAAACAGTGGAACTGCTCCCTCTCAACACGTGCCTTGTTTTAGGGGAACTTACAAGCCCAGGATAAAGGTTTATTTATTTATTCATTTTTAATCTTTTTTTTTTGGGGTGGCGGGGGTGGGGGGGGTTGTTTCTTTTGTTTTGCTTTTCAAGACAGGGTTTCTCTGTGCAGCCCTGGCTGTCCTGCTCGGTAGACCAGGCTGGTCTTAAACTCACCCAGATCTTCCTACCTGTGCCTCTCAAGTGCTAGGATCAAAGGTGTGTGCCACCACCACCCAGCTGGAAGGTTTATTGTTTTCGTTTCATTCTAATCTATTTTCTCCAACCCCCCTTTTTTTTAACCCCCTCCCCTTACTAATGTCTGAAATACAATTTTGGTTTCTATTCCTTTCCAAAAATGGGGAACTGTGGCCTTTGTTAACTCCCTTCCTGGCTACTCTTAGATGTGCAGATCATCACTGAGACACTGTCAGGCTGTGGTGGTTGGTCTTCATGCCAACTTGACATGGGCTAGCCTCTCCTGGGGAGTCTCCAGATTGTCAGCTGTCTTTGAGTTTGTCTTCATTACGTTGATTGATGTGGGAAGACCTGCCTACTGTGGGCAGTACCATTCTCTGGGCTTTAGATCCTGAACTGAGGAAGAGGTGAAAAACCGAGCTGAGCTCTGGCATGCCTGTGCTCATCCTCTCTCTGCTCTTTACTGTGTGTGTGACCAGCTGCTTTGTGTTCCTGACTTCCCTGCTGTTACCCGGTGGACTGCAATCTGGACTTGTGAGCTAAAATAACCCGTTCTCCCCTACGTTACTTTTGTTGGAATTATATATAAGTGGGTTTTGCCTGAATGTATGTCTGTACACCATATATTCAGGCACCATACTGTGTGTGCCTAGTGCCTGCAGAGACCATCAGAATTTCTGCTTGAGAGCATCTGTTGTGGAATAATCTTTTTGTACACTGTGAAGTGTGTCATCCTGATTGGTTTATTAAAAAGCTGAATAGCCAATAGCTAGGCAGGATTTTCAAGCACACAGAACTCTGGGAAGAAGGGGGAGCTGCCAGCCGGAAGGAAGGAAGCAGGATGGGGGATACAGCTCAAAGGTAACCAAACCACATCAAAGAAAGTAGATTAAAAGATAAAGGTTAATTTAAGTTATAAGAACTAGTTAGGAACAATGCTAAGCTAAGGCTGAACTTTCATAATTAATAGTAAGTCTCCATGTCATGATTTGGGAGCTGGCTGGCAGGACATAAAGACTCACTACAAATAGTGTCCAATGTGGGGCCACGTATCATAAGACCTGAGAGATCTTTAGAAAAAGGTTCTAAACACACAAAAACGGAGTCTCACATGAAAGCCGAGGTTCAGAGACACATCTCCCAGCAGCTACCAGCTTTAGCCACCAGTGCACCATGAACTAAGCTGCAGGGCAGTTTAAGATTTTGCTCATACAGAAAGAAAAGATTACAGATAGGCAGTGAAGCAGGTTCAGATGGAAAACAACTCTAAATAGGTTACAGTGTGTTTAACAATGTGCTTAGGCTTAAGAGAAAAAAGAAAGAAAGAAAAAGGATATAGATAGTCATAAAAATAAGTAAATAATTTATAAGTAATAAAATGTTTAAAGGAAAAGTGAAGTAATAAAAAATATAAGCCACATAGAGATGGGAAATATACAGGGACTCTGTGTTCTTTATGTTATTGTGTTGTCTGAATTTTTTGATTGCTGGTGAACAAATGATAGCTGCTAAGAGACATTGGATTATAGAAACTGCTAAATTAAACCAACCTATATAAGTTAAAAATGTCTTAACTTCAAAGTGGAAGTTGGACAATGTTGCATTAAGGGAGAAGAACAAAAGGCTGTGGTTTCCTTCCAGATTAATAGAGATAAGATTTTACTGGGGAAGACCTCCTGAGTATCTGGCTACAGATATCAGGAAGGAAGCCAAAAAAGACTACAGGACAGGTGACCTGTAAACTGATCCTTGACATGAGAACAGCCCTAAGACAAGATGAGATGTGATAAATCTTGTTAGCTACAGAGCCCTCTTGACTTATTATTACATGTCATCCTTTCATATGGGTGGGTAGAGATTTATATTACAATTTGGTTACATAGTCCAAATGGACTTAAAAAGTTGTAGATTCCCTTTACCTGCTCAAACATAAAACAAAACAAAAAAATCATCTTTAACTGACTTGTGCACACCACATATTCCATACTTGTATTAATGCATATACGTATGTTACCTCTGAAATTTTATATGTTTGCAGAACAAGGAAACCAGACATCAGTAAAAACAGATAGCCTAGGAGATCTGGCCTCTCAGAGTGCCCCTGTTGCAGTTTTCTCAGAGTTCTGCATCCAGAACAGCTTCAAGGCTGCTGGCTGAGATGGTCCAGCCTCACAGACTATTCCAGCCAGGACTTCAGATAAACCTTGCACTTTACCCATTACCAAGAGACTGGACTACAAATAATACAATTAAATAATCCCAGGACTTTACCATTATTCCAATTTTCCCAGAGTCTTCTAAAGATTTTAGCACCCCCAGACAATAGGAAGAAATCTAGAGAATATAATACCCACATTTCCAAGAGGTGGGGTGGATGGCTTTTGGTCATTTCAGTGGATTATAAATGTTTGTCATCATTGGGGGGGGGTTTTACAAGTTGATATTGCTCACAGTCAGGAAAAAAGCTAAACAAAGAACTTAGATTCAAGGATCTCTTTCTGAAGGAAAAAGGGGGGATACAGTATAGAAATGATGGGATAAAAGGGTGCACTTGTACCTGCTGAGTGTACTTGTAAACAATCACTAGTCTCAAATCTTTTACATTGGTATATTTTACATTGGTATATTTGTATATTAATACAAATTTAAGGTTATTTTTTGTTATACTGTATATGTTTCTACTGTTGTTTAAGGTATTGCAACTATGCAGCTTAAAAAAAACGTTATGTGAAATTTTAGTTTTTGAAAGCTATTTAGGATAATAAATACATGTTAATAGTCATCTATAACCATCAAACTTCCAGTCAAGTATGTTTTCAAGGTCATACAGAGATATATTTTAGGTAGATAGGTGATCTCCAAACCCTTCAAACACTTGAAGAATATGGCACTTAAAATGTTTTAATAACATAAGGCTTTTAATGACAGCACCAATTTACTTCAAAACAAGGATGGTAGTCATCAAAGAACCTCCATATGGAGTTTGCTTTCTTTATGGAAAAAGCTAGCCATTTGGGCAAGAAACTGTCCTTGCCTCAACTACTGACAGTATGCTGTCCAAACTGGACCAGCAGTACACAAAGAAAAGTGACTGCCAAACTTTACCAAGACAAGGTAAGACAGTCCTTCAAAATTTCCTACTTCACAGAAAAGTCTGTCAGATATTCTAGACCCTTAGGCTAAAGATCGCTATTGCAGAAGAACCTTGGGTGACTTTCCAGGCAGTCAGATGTATCTGTTGTTTCTTTTAGTTTTGGAAATTGTGTTGTTCTGCACTTCCTGTTTACTAAGATAATAGTGTATCCTCCTGGAATCTTTGATGGAGTTGAAGATTAGATAGTCATAGTTTTCCTTAGTTAAGATAGAAGATAAACTAGGATCAGAACTTTGGACTCATCAAGATAAGATAAATAATAAAGTATTTTCTCCAAAATTGCCAAATACAAATGAACTAAACATTGTGAATGTAATTCTTTCCTGATATTTGTTCTTATTACACATGTCTTTATTATTTAGACAAAAGGGGGAAAATGTTGTGGAATGATCTTTTTGTACACTGTGAAGATGCTTCATTCCAGTTTAATAAAAAGTTGAAGGTCAATAACTAGTCAAGATTTTCAGTCATACAGTATACTGGGAAGAAAAGGGGGAACTGAAAGCCAGACAGAGAGGAAACAGGATGGGGAGTACAGATTAAAGGTAACCAAGCCACATAAAAGAATGTAGATTAAAAAGTAAGGGTTAATTTAAGGTATAAGACCAATTGGGAACAATGCTAAGGCCAAGCTTTCATAATTAATAAGTCATGATTTGGGAGCTGGGTAGCAGGACAGAAAGACTCACTACAGCCATCAGCTCTTCTGCACCTATAGTTACAAGTGGTTATGAACCTGTTGCATGACAGACTTTTCCTGGGAGGAGGCAACACACACTTGTCTACTCACCCCAGATAGGGAGCCCATGACAGAAAAAGTATAGATACCACCAAAGTTCAACTTAGTGAACTAATGAGTATTACTGGTTGCCATATTACTTACAGTAATATGGGCAAGAGGTTTCTTACAGCAGTAGAAATTACTCAAGAACAGCTAGCTGTTCACCAAAGCCCACTCAACATGAGTGTCAGCTTACAAAGCTAGGAACCTGGAGCACAGTGCAGAGCCTGCGGGCTGCTCAGCAGATTGCAGAGTGTCCTTTCCAGGTGCCTACGTTGGTCTGAACCTCTTCTAGGCAGTTCCACTGGTCTCTGCTTCTTTGCACCTTGGCTTGTCTTTACTATTTACTCTTGGGGGTGAATCTAGTCAGTTTTAGGGACTTCCTGAAGTTATTTTGAGTTGTCTACTCTTTGTCTTAACTCTGAGGTATAGAATGTTTCAACCTGGAAGGAAACTACTACACAACACAGCTGCCATGTGGACATTGGGAATCTTCTGGAAGAGCAGGCAGTGATCTTAAACCCTGAGCCATCTCTCTAGGCCTGCTGTCAGGTTATATTACCATGGAAACTGAGGCATATATTCATGAAAATTCTCCTAACAACTAGAAATGCATTTGTTCCCTTGCTTCCAAAAGAAAATATGTTGGCTTGCTATTT